TAAATTGGTGACGACACTGTCAAGGAACGCTATGGACAGTGGAAACATGCAAGAGGAGGAGAGTTTTGTGTTGGAGGTCGTGGATGAGTCTCCTCCGTCATCCATTTATTTATTTAGCGGAGGAAAGCGGGGACGAAGATGTTGTGGAAGAGGACGCCAGGGCAGCAGAAGCTTGGTTTGGTGTAGAAGGCTTCCAGCCGTACATGTTTGAGCCCTTGCCTCACAACGCTGCCAGTTCTGTTAGCTCTACACCTGCTGAAGACACAGACGTCCATCTCCGTGAACATTTCAATGGGAAAGGAAATGATTCTTATTTCAACCGTTGTGTATATTAGCTGCGACATATGAATCAAGAAAAAAAATGTAATTGACAGATGATCGTTGATATATGATTGGCCGAATGTACCGGTAGGTGTTCAGGTGACGTATAACTAACTGGCCTGCAGAAGATTATGAAAAAAACACAGATTTTAAGACAGGATTTTTTTTTTTTAAATAGAAATGTTTTAACCTTTGGGACAATTTCGTCTGATAAAGACATTTATATACATATTTAAGCCAGAATGATTTGACATCTAAATATGATTTCCCTATGACTTAAAGAAGGTTCACAATACTTGACATTTTTCACATTTTGTCAAATAAACTGTTTCATTAGCAATATAGGCAATGGGCTAATCTAAAGCACAATGATTGGGGAAACAAATGTGCAAATGATCACATTATCTGCAAACAGAAATCTAGAAAGTGTGGCGTGTGTTTCTAACAAAGTCCCATTGCTTTATAGTTCTTAGAGCATGGATGATAATAATTGAACGTTATTAATCTCACATTGGAGAAATTTACCTCTGCATTTAACCCACCCCCTTGGAGAGCAGTGGGCTGCCATTGTGCGGCGCCTGGGGAGCAGCTTTGGGTTAAGGGTCTTGCTCAGAGACCCAGAGTGCAGGCTGTGGGGATCGAACCGGGTATTTTCAACCTTCTCAGAGCACAAGTGCACTGCTCTCACCAGGCCAACACTCCCCCAATCTGTCAGTTTCCACACATAGGGACAAAAATCTTAGACAGTTCTGGTTTGGTGAATTTTGCTGGAAAAGCCTAAGAGTTTTCATAACTCCAGAGCAAAAAATATAAGAGGGAAATGGTGACACCTGCTGGAGATGTTGCAGTGATGGTGCCAATCACTTCCATATTTTTACTGAGCTGTCAAACCATCCAGAGATATTGCTCTCAAACTCATGAACATTTACAGAACATTTTTGCTTTTAATTTTCCTTTAACCTTTGAATGCATATTTCTGTGTAACATACCGGTCGAAAAACTGAACTATAAGGATCAGAAACTTCTGGACATTTTGCTGGCAGGGAGCAAAAAGCCCCTCACAAGAAAATGGTTTAAACGGGAGATATAGGTATTAGAGAGACTGTCTTTTTTCTGATCTTAACTGAATGTTTGCAAAGGGTGTGATTTTTAATGATTCCAAATATGCAGCTTTAAATTGGACACATAAAGAAATTATTTGTACCTGCAAAATTATTGCCCTCCAAGGGGCCATAATGTGCACTAAAGTGCCCTCTAATGTGTGGAGAACCAGCTATATATTTAATTATTTCTGTTCCTTATGGTTTAGTTGAGTAAAGACGTTGTGTCAGTCTGCTGCTTTAATTTGTACCGGCTTGTTCAGACATTTTTTTTTCTCCACTAATAGTTATTTATTCTAATATTTTTATTCTTTACAGTCCAAATATGTAAAAAAAAAACAAACAAACAAACAAAAAAACGTGCAGACACTTTCTACAAGATATGGTCCAAGTGGACAGAATATGTCAAACCTGTTATGAGTGATTATTTTTGTAAATCTTGCTTTCATTCAGTTTCATTGTTGGTACTCAGGCTTCCCCGACAATTTTTTTATTTTGTCGTTTGTTTGCGTGTGTTTTGTGTTTCTACTAAGGAAAAAAGTGTAAAAGCAGAGTGTAAAAATGACATTGAAATTGATACAATGATATCATTGTAATGTAATGTGTTTTCTCAATGAAAACATTAATATAAAAAAAATAATCTTTGAAAGTTCTATACAAAATATGCTGGTGGGGATTAATCTGCTGTCCGGATCACGCTCAATGCAAATAAATTTGAATTAGTACTGTAGCAACCATCAAATTGTCTTTAATTTTGGTCGCTTCTTGGTGCAGGAAATCCAGATCCTAATGAGCTCAAAAGGCAATGACCAGGCTGGGAGATTAGTTTGGGAAACGCTCCCATTTATTATGCACACTGAATACTGAATCAATCCAAACTCCAGAGTGGAGGTCTATGGCAGCAGGCAAAGAAAATGGGCAGTGGTGGCCTAGTGGTTCAGGCATAGAGCTTTGAATCCTGAGGTTCTGATTTTGAGCCCCACTCCCACAGACTGACACTCTGGCTGTCTGAGCAACACCCTTAACCCCCGATGGCGCCCCACCATGGCAGCCCACTGCCCCTCAAGGGGATGGGTTAAATGAAGAGGTAAATTTCTCCAATGTGAGATCAATAAAGATAAATTTTTATTATTAATATTGATCAATATGTAGATATAATGAAGCAAACCAGTATATAACAGAGTGGTAAAAAAAAAAAACATGACCTTCCCACACTGCCCTTACCTTGACACTTCTATAGATTCCTCCCATAGTGACACCAGTGTAAGAGCAAAATATAGGTCAGAAAGACAGTTCACATCCAAACCAAATACCACAACCAAACCATCCATTTTCAAACACGCTTAATCCCAAGTGGGGTCATGAGGGGTGCTGGTGTCTATCTCCAGCTGCCAATGGGCAAGAGGCAGGGTGTTTTAGAGAAGCCAATTAACCTAAAAGTCATGTTTTTGGACTGTGGGAGGAAGCCAGAGTACCTGGAGAGAACCCACACATGTTCAGGGAGAACATGCAAACTCCATGCAGAAAGACCCTGGGCCGGGAATCAAACCCGGAACCTTCTTGCTGCAATCCACCGGTGCTACCCACCGTGGCATTGAGCAGCCACAACAAAACCAATGCATCGAAACTAAATAAAATAGACCTAAACTATACCTGAACAGAGATCTACAAATGGCTCCTATAAGAAAGACTAGACTTAAGTATTTATAGTTGAAGAGTTCTAAAATATCATTTGAAGAACTTTCACAATTTAAATCTACTGAAGAAGAAATTCCGTTTAGGCTGCATGGAGATTACAGCCCACTTAAAATCATTATTACAGTTATTAGTGCTGTTTTTGGCCTGGATTTCTCCGATTATTTAAGTTATATGCATTTAGGCATGAATTAAGGATGATATTTTTATAGTTGTGCTGAAAAGTCTCCGTACCCTTAAAAAAAAACAAAAAAAGCTGCCAGTATAATAAGTTGAAATTGAAAAAAGTACTAAATAAAAACGATCAAAAATGGAAATCATGACATTGATTTTGGATATATGTATTGATCTATATTTTACATTATAATGTTTTTATTTATTATAACTTTTTTTTTTTTTTCAGTTTTGTGTTATGTGAATTAGTGTGAATGTATCATTTTCTTTAGTAGGAGAGGGTGTGTAAACAACAACCGTGTAAAGAAATCCTAGTATTTGACTTTCTAGGAGAGATTGATTTTAGGCCACAGGTGGAACTTCCAAAACTTTAGTGAGAGTTTAAATTATTACTCAGGACAAGACAAACAAAAAGGTTTTTAATATCAGTCAATGTGTGCAGAAAATTGGCTTATTAAAAAGCTTAATTGGTTAAATGTGAATGACCTAGATTTTTTATTTTATTTTTTATTAAAGACAATTTCACAGTGCCTGTTATGAAACAGTTAATAAAAAATCAGTAGAAAACCTTTTGCTTTTTATTTTCCAACAACAACAAATGTAATTTGCACAGCTGGTAGTGATGGAGTCAGCAAGTTACCATTTCTGATCTCTTGCATACCCCGAATAAATAGAGTCTCCCGTCCCTCAGTGAGGTCTAGAAGCACAAGATCTATATCCATCCATTCAGCAAAGATACTGCTAAATGGCTCTACATCTTATTTTGGCATTTGACAATTAGATGAGCCCTTTAATGATATATTACCTGCTGTAAATTAAGCTGGAAAATAAGTTATCAAGTTAAGAAAAAAGTTCAAGCAGTGGGTAGCACTGTTGCCTCGCAGCAAGAAGGTTTAGGTTTGATTCCCGGCCTTTGTTCTCCCTGTGCATGGGTGTGTTCTCTCTGGGTACTCCGACTTCCTCCCACAGTCCAAAAATATGACTGTTTGGTTAAATTACGGTAAGTTGAAAAATAAGTTAACAGTTAAGAAAAAAAAACTAAAAAAAATGTAAGTGCCAGTATCAGCATAAATGCCTCTAAGGTTATGTTGGACCAAAAAAAGGTGTTTCTTTCATGAATTTCTTACAGAAGCACTTTTGTTATTTTTCTTAATATATTCGGGCAAGTTGGTGTTTCTTCTTATTACAGTGACATTAATTTTTGCCATCAAAATATCCATATTTTTTAATGTTACAAAGGTAATAATGTCTTGTGCTGGATTCCAATAACACTCAAAATATTTCACTGAGTTTCCTATAAAGGGATAAGAAAGTGAGCAGATTTTGTGTAGTATTAAAAGCAAATATTTAGTTTTTGTTGATGAATAATTTTATTTTTTTTTAAATATAAAATAAGGTTTTGTTATATATCTACCTAATCACTAATCAAAAAGCAGTTGATGAGCAAATGAAAAAAAATAATATTAGAACTGTAAATATATAGTCATATGTTTATATAACTATTTTTTTCTGTATTTATTGCTGTTTTCAAGGCTGCATTTTAAAAGATTAAATTGTCTGGAGCTGTTTTAAACGAAATGTCATTTTGTTTACACTCGTTTTTACAAAAAGACAAATCTAAGTCAAATAAACCAAACCAAGCAGATTTTCTTTGCTTTTGCACCCTCTGCTGGTGAACCTGTGCTACTGCATAGACTAGTTCCTGGTTAGTAGGACAACACGCTTTCGGCCGCTGTTAGCTCAGCTCGCAGCTTCAACTTCGGAAAGCATGGAACTAGTCGGATCTTAGTTTGCCAAAGAGATACTAAAAGACAATATATGACAAAACTGTGACATATTGGTTTGTAGTTTGTGTCCAGGTTATGATTGTAGACAGAGTTTGGTTTTAGTGAGCTCAGCAGCTTGCAGCCGCCAGCTAAGCTAGCTTAGTAGCTAACCACACTACAGTCCAAAATGACTGACTGCTGCGCTGCAGCAAACTGTGATTACCGGCAGCAAGAGTCAGAAAACAGCACTCCACTGTTCAGCTTCCCTCTGGACCCACATCGGTAAGAATCTCCCTCGTTTTGTGCAAAAGTTGGTGAGAAGAAGCCTTTTGCACAGCTAGCGAAATGAATGTGTTAGCCGCGGACTGTTAGCATCGGGGGTTAGCTTAGCATCGGGGGTTAGCTTAGCATCGGGGGTTAGCTTAGCATCATGTTAGCTAACTGTGACACAAGTCGGTGGAAAATGGCGCAGACTCACGTTACTCTTCAAAGAAAAGCCCATGAGAAACAGTCAGAGACCCCCTCATCTGTCACACATTGGAACTAGTCTGACTTTGAATAGTTTATAAACAATAAAAATAGTAAATCTAAAGGAGACTTTTTCCTCCACATATGTAGATAGCCACCAGATCAACAGTCCTCAGCCATCAGGGGCAGTTTGGTAACAACATTTATTCCTTTGCACTGCCCTGGCTGTGTAGGTTTAATCATATTTTAAGTTTCTTAAAATGTATTATCTGCTTTTCAAAGTCAGATGTTTTCAATTTAAGTTGTGCAGTTAGGATCAAAGGTCATTAATAACTATAATAACGAATGATTATTTGTTCTGCAACAGAAGTGCTAAAATAATCTTTAATTGCAGTGTTTTTCTATTTGTTTTCATTATACTTTCAGGTATTTCTTTCCAGATCACAGAACAAATCTATAATCAATGATGAGATATTTAGGTCTGTGATTTTCTGATAATGGGTCCCTTGTGTGTCTAAAGTAGGGGTGTAACTAACAATGTTTTTATATCGATGCATCGATCCAACAGACGGCGATCCGATGCATCGACACGTTCGCAAGAGTATCGATTCCTGGTTTCATCTTTTTATCTATTTGCTCCTGGAACAACTTTGCTACTTCTGTTGTTTGCTGTTTTATCTCAAATGAAATGCATAACAATATTAAAGCTTTCATTGATGTATTTAAAAATTTGAAACATTGTCTAGCCTGTAAGAAAAAAAACAAACAATCAAACCGTATCGTGATTTATTCCTGAATATCGAAAATAATCGAATTGTTGGGTCAGGAAATCGATACTGAATCGAATCGCCATGATGGAAGTGATTTACAGCCCTGGTCTAAAGTACAGAATTAATCTTTTTTACTCTAAATTTACAAAAACTCTCTGCTGAGGAATCTGTTCTGTGTTCAGTTCAGGTTGGACCAGATTTAAGTCATTCAGAGCTTAAATCAGGTTGATTAAATGCTGCCAGTTCAGCTGTGATTAGTCGCTGATTGTGTGTAAATTAAACCTGGTTCATTTGGAAAAGTTTTCCTCCTCTGTCAGAATCATTTGATGTCAAAGAAGATCCTTGTTAGGAGGTTAAACTTGTTTTTATTTTCACCAAACACTCAGACATGGTCTCCTGCTGCATGTATATCAGGATGACATGACCTGGATGAAGTCATCCCCGCATCGGCACAGAAACAAAAATCATGTTCTTGTTTCTGTGTTTTTAAATAACAGTTCTGCTAATTTGGTTCTTTGCATCTACAGGCTGTTTGAGGAGAAAGAAGACATTGTAAACCGAACAGATTTAACTTTTATAATATCTATCTTATATAATATCTACTACATTATTTTATACCACAGAGTATTATGGCCAGGCTAGAGAATTATTTTTCCTCTATTTCGATAATAAAGTCTTAACATTATGAGAAGAAAGTCGCAAAATTACAAAAATAAAATTGTAAAATTCCAAGAATAAAGTTGCAACGAAAAGAGTCATAAAATTACGAGAATAAAGTCGCCAAATTACGAGAATAAAGCCGCAATGAAATTAGTCATACGATTACGAAAATAAATTCGTAAAATTACGAGAATTAAGTTGTAAAATTACGAAGATAAAGCCGCAATGAAATTAGTCATACAATTACGAAAATAAATGCGTTAAATTACGATAATAAAGTTACATCGGGAATAAAGTCGTAATATTAAGAGAATAAAATCTTAAAATTACGAGAATAAAGTCGCACCAGCATCAAATTGGGCAGGAGTCGAACGTTTCTTTCTGAAACGGGTTGTTGCATGATGACTTTATTATTGTAATATTACAACTTTATTCTTGTAATCTAACAACTTTTTTCTCATAATGTTATGACTTTATTCTCAAAATAAAAAAAAAATCTCTAGCCTGGCCCTAATACACGTCGTAATTTTAAAAGTTGTCTGCCTGGAGTCTAAACCGTTTTTAGGTCATTCATACGTCTTTAAACTCAGTGGGTTCAGTTGGTCCGTCTGTCCAGTCAGGTGCATTTTATCTTTAATTAAAAGCAAACAGCTTATTTAAATAGTTTCAGAACAAAGACCATGTTGGTGCAGCTATAATGGCTGCATCAAGTTCCTGTTGTTTCACACAATGAAATCAACTACAGGTCGTTCACTTGGAGATTTTTTATTTAACTTCTCATTAATCAGTTGTGCAGATTTGAATATGGTGTCATTGTTCATATTTTCATTGAGTCTTTATATACCAGTTTATCTCAAGTAAATGTTTACCTTTTTTTATTCTTCAGTTGCCAGCAATGGTTAAACAACTGCCGTCGCCAGGATTTGGTCTCCCAGCCTCCAGAGCAGCTGCACAAGCTGTACAAAGTTTGTGCAAAACACTTTGAGCCGTCTATGATTGATCAGCAGGTAAGAACCAAACCTGAGCCCAAAGGAAAACATTTAAACAGATAAAGGGAAGCAGAAGTAGCTGAACACCCACCTAAGTTAGCCACCAGGGGGCAGCGCAGCACCAGAAATTGAACTAGAGGAGAGAATTAGGGAGAAGCTTGTTTTGTTTTTGGTTTGTTGATAGTTATCTGGACAGATGAGATTTATGAACAGCAAAACCTGGAGCTTTGCCCCCTAATGAACCAGATTTAAATGTTTTTTATTTATTTATTTATTTTTCATATTTTTAGGTAATTTTTTTATAGGTATGTAGCATTTACATTGATCATCTTGCTGATAAATGTAAACAAACTGGAGGGACAGATGTTTAACAGGGATCCTTTAGTAAAGTGGAAGTGGAGGCCTCTTCTATAGCAGCAGGATGTGTGACAAATACTCACATGAGGATGTTTGTTCATGCTAGTTAAGGTTTTTAAAAATAAGCTTTTTTCAGCATTTTTTTCAACAAAAAGAAAGAACTTGTTTGCCATCCCATCAGTTATTTGTTTTTTTTTTATAGGTGAATGAAAATAATTACAAGCCCTTCGTCCATCTTACAGTAGGTTTTGTTTTCCCACAATGTAATTTTCCATATAAAGGCATAGAGGATAGTTTCACCATCTGGTGTAACTTTGGGAGAAAATGTGTTTTTGTTTTTGCTCATCTTTGTCCTTTAGATGTGAGTTCATGTGATCCAGTCCTGCTTCATGTGGATAAAAGCAGTTTATTAAAGATCGTTGAAGTTCTAATAGCTTTGGGTTCTGATGTAATTAAAGAGTTGGTTATCCTCCCGCAGCAGTGTGTCGCAGTGAGCTTGTCGCAGATATTTCTTATTTATGCCCAATATTGAAGCGTGGTCTGCACTGGTATTCCACACCACAACGCAAGAGGGACGATCAGGAACTAATGTGGTGTGAAAAAGTGTTTGCCCCCTTCCTCATTTCCTGTTTTTTTGCATGTCACACTTAAGTGTTTCGGAACATCAAACCAATTAAAACAATAGTCAAGGACAAACAAAGTAAACACAAAATGCAATTTGTAAATGAAGGTGTTTATTATTAAAGGAGGAAAAAAATCCAAACCATGATGGCCCTGTGTGAAAATGTGCTTTCTGCGCTCACTGCGACACACAAACGACCTGGTTTCTGAGCATAAATCAGCCTGAACAGCATTTAAACAGCATATATAGGCAGAATACTTCAGACTGGTTTATCTTGAAATGCAACAGGATAGATGGGAAAACACAGGAACTCTGCTGCAGTAACAGTGCAGGTTTAAAATAAATGTGATTCTCAGCTTTTAGGCTTCCTGATGCAAAGCAGTCAGTGGGAATACTGGTCGTTTGGGAGACACATCTTGGTTGGTTCATTTTTTATATTCTCAGCAGGGACATTTTGTGCAACTGGAGGATAAAATGGGGCGGTCCACTATGTCAGCCTGCGAAGGCCCGAGGCACTGAGAACAGAAATACCTACATGTTGGTTTAAGGTGTTTTTGCAGGATTTTTGCAAATTTAAAAAAAAAAGACTCTCTCCACTTTAAAAAACAAAAAAAAAAAAAAAAAACGCATGTGTGAGAGCGTGCACAAGCCCATTCCTTGTGCACGCTCTGTTTAAAAGTTGCTGTTCTCATAGCTCATACAAGCTCACTGTGCTTTAACGTCCGCCCTAAATGCCTCAATCACTATATAGAGCGGCGACTATATAGTGGACTTTATAGTGAGTCAGTTAACTGACCGTTTGGACAGATGATCACTATTTTTTGCTCAGTTGGTCACGTAACTCCTCCACTGTGCCGTGTCTGCGCCATTTTTGTTATTAATGAATGCATAAACACCTCATTTTATTTCAGTGTTAAATTCTGTCTAAATTAAAAGATTATAATTAAAAATTTCTCTGGATCTTTGCTGGTTGATTTTCTTTATTCAGACCTCGCTGATTTTTAATTTGCAACCCTAATGTACTAATGGGTTAGTAGCTTGAAATACACAGAACCTGAAACAGAGAGCTGATCTATGTGACAAAGCCTTTAAATGTATGATTGTGTTTTTTTTTTTTTCAGAGCCCGTCAACCTCTGTGTTAAAGGAAGATGCTGTTCCTACAATATTTGACTTCGCTGTGAATCAACAGGAGACGTGTAACAGAAAGAGAGCCAGAGATCCCGTAAGTATTCATTTCAGCATTAATAACAACTCTTTGACAAAAAGTCAATAAAATAAAAGCCTTAATTCTACAATTTTCTCCTCATCCAGTCGGAGGAGGAAGCTGCTGTTGTAAAGAAATCAAAAGGTAGAGTGACTCCTTTGTTTCCTTGAAAATGAATCCTTCATTTCCGTTTCTCGGTTACTCTATTGACGTTCTGTCGTTAATCCATTCCAGAAAATGCACCAGAAGCTACAGAAGACGGGATAAAATCAGAGGAACCACAGAAAGAACCTGAAACCCAGGAGGACAGCTCCACCTCTAAAGCAAAAGAGACTCTGAAAATTTACTTTAAGGAAACCCTGGCCGTGATAGGCTTCAGCATCAATGGGGCGAACGCGAGCTCAGACGAACCGATGGGAGGCGTGCGCGGTCAGCGCGCTCACAATCGCATCTGTGTTGAGAAAATAGACAAGAAGGAGATCCTGCTGTTCGGCGAACGCTTCATGCAGGAGGAGATCCAGAACAGTCTGCGGCTGTCCAGGTTCTTCTCCATCCTGCTTCAGGATGTGACTAACATAGAGGGAAAGGAGCAGATTCCGGTTTTCATCCGCTCTGTAACCATCGCAGGTTTCCCCCAGAAGCACCTGATCGGCTTCCTGCCCTGTGACCTGGACGCAGAGAATCTCTTCTACATGCTTCTCTCCGAGCTCCGAAACAAATGGGGTTTGCGGATGGAGCACTGCAGAGGACTCAGTTATCTCATCACCGGAAACCTCTGTCAGAAAATGCGAGATCTCACCTGCAGGATCCTGAAGGAGTTCCCCCAAGTAGTTCTGTCCCCGAGCGACCCGTACGCGTTCAACATCTGGATCATCCGCTGCATGCCGGTGCCCCCCATCCAAAAGGTCGCCGACACCGTAGAGGAGGTGGCCACGTTGATCCGGCGAATACCAGAGCTGAGCAAACGATTGGACGGGAAGATCCTGGCCACATACGGCCACATTAAGGGCGAGGTGGACCGGATCAAAACGGCTCTCAGCGAGAACTGGGAATACGGCACCGACGCCTTCCAGACCATGCTGGAGATCCTGGAGCCTTTCCTCACCTGCATCAGCGAGATCATTTCCAAGGTGGACGAGGAAACGTCCGAACAAATGGCCCGCCTCGTGCCGGTCCTGAAGAACTTTAACTTCATCATCACGCTGGTCGTTCTAAAGAACACGCTCTGCTGTGTGAGCATACTGAACGCCAGTCTGAGGGGAATAATAAGCATCAGCAGTACCTTACAGTACACCATCTCCAACGCCTTAAAGCTGGTTAGCAAATACCAACAGGAGCTCGCAATATTTCACAGGAAGTGGTTTTCTGACGCGGTCGGCCGAGCGAAGAAACTTGGCGTGGAGATCACCAAACCGGAGATAGCCCAAGCAGACGCCAGCGAGACGCCGCTGGAGGACTTTTACAGGGAGACCATGAGTCGGCCCATCCTGCAGTATCTGGTGGCGGAGGTAAAGAGAGTGTTTAGCACAGAGATGGTGAGGATCCTCCGATGGCTCTCCTTGGTGCCGTCCTACATGGCGGACCACAACTTCAGCATCCGCAGGGATAAAGTGGCCGACGCCAACTTGAACAACCTGGCGCGCCCCGACACGTTCTACGAAGAGCTGGGCTGCTGGGAGGTGAAGTGGAAGCACGCGAGCAAGCGTAGAATCCTCCCCACCACCGTGTTCGCTACTCTCAAGATTCCAGATATCGGCTTTTACCCGAACGTGCAGAGCCTGCTGAGGGTGCTGGGAACGGTGCCGTGTGTGAACGCGGAGGCCGACGTGTACGGACAGTACCACATGGTGCTGGAGCGCTGCCATTTCTACCTGAAAGCCACCGCGCCCGACCAGAGGCAGTGCAACATGGCGTTCGTGTACGTGAATCAGGATGTGCACTTCAGTGTGGAAAAAATGGTGGAGTCGTACATCGAGAAGCACCCAGACATCCTGCAACTGCTGCAGATGGTGAGCAGAAAAACACCAGCAGATTACAATCCGGCGGCCTGCACCCGAAAATATCCACACCTAGATACATCATTTTTTCTTAAAAATTAGTGTATTTGATCCTGGATTGAGGAGGTAAAAGATACATTTTGCCAATGGAACAAGACAATTTATATTTAAAATAAAATAACACAATTGCATTGTATTATTTCAAGTGCATATTATCGAATTATCTTATTTAGTAAAAACACTCCATCCATACTTCCATTGGCAAACTATCTCATTTACCTACTCAAATTAAAGGTAAATACACTTAATTTAAGACATTTTTTATCTCTAGATGGTTTTTCCAGTGTGTTTTTTGCAGAGGTGTCAAGTAACTAAGTACAAATACTTTCTTACTGTACTTAAGCACACTTTTTAGATATCTATACTTTACTCCATTACTTATTTTTCTTCCTACTTCCTACTTCTACTCATTACATTTAAACACAAGTATCTGTACTTTCTATTCCTAACATTTTTAAAACAAACGTTACTTGTTACTCTTGGATTCGGTTTAATGCAGAGGTCACGGGTTAGCGGACCGCGGTCCGGATCCGGACCCACCTGCTGGCTAATTCAGACCCAACCTGATTTAAAACATTTATAAATTACCGCATGTTGTCTAACGACAGTGTCTAAACATCACTTGCGTCGCTTCTCCTGTTACCCCGAAATCCCACATCCTCCTCTGCTCCGCTCCAGACAGCCTGCGCAAAGCAAAGCCTACAGACTTCCTCTGAGCTTTAGGAGAGCATGCCCGATATTATCATTAAATCCATAGGAGCAAAATATACAGAGATGAACTCTTAATTTACTATGACATATTAAAAAAATCCCCATCAGCATCCAGCATATGTGCGGTTTCTGATGGAGATGAGAAATCTGCTTCCTGATCTGTTGAAGTACCAATAGTTTGCATCCAATTTTTTAAATAAACAGTGTTAGTTTTTTTGAAATATGTAAGAACTATTCTCTAATTTGTAGTTACCGATCTGTTGTTACTATATTTTAATTTGACGAACCAGATCTTCTCGCTGTTCTTTTTCCTGTTTGATGCGAGTGCAGTAGCAGATCTTGACCTGGCCGGGCCGGGCCGGGCCGGAGCGGAGCCTGATATTTAGAGGATGTTTGGCTCAACATGCTGCTGTGAAGCAGGATTCTCCACCATGAACAGAATCAAAAATAAATATGGATCCAGGCTCATAATGAGCTCCTTGATATGTGCTTTAGAATGGCTTAGTCTCCATTAAACCAGGTTTAAAGCCTTGCAGGGCAGCATGAAGCCCACTGCTCTCATTAAGACAGAAAAAAGAGAAAAATAAACAAACGGTCAGGTGTTTTATAAAATATTGGAATCAGGAAATAGTCTGTATACCAAACTGAAAGATTGTTGCTCTCTATTTAAAAACACTTTAGATTTTAAAATAGAAAAATTTTAAATTTTTTAAATATTTTTTTATTTAAAATTTCAATATATAACATGGATGCATAAACACCTCGTTTTATTTCAGTGTTTTTTGTTTAAAGTAACAGATCATGATGATTCTTCATTGGTTACCCCTGATCTATGCCATGCTACAATGTTGGATTCAGAAAAAGATGTTGAAATGTCTGAAAGGTCGGACACAGACGAGAGCGTATCGGGAGACGGAGACCAACAACACCTCTCTCATCCTCGGCCCTATCTCAAAGAATTTTTCGACATAGTCGAAAAAATGAGTTTTAAATTCATTCAAATTCATCTGGCTGTTTTTTTTATAGGTTACTTTATACTTTAAGTAGTTTTTGGAGCACATACTTTTTCAATTTTACTTGAGTAAAGAGGTCAAGTTGATACTTTTACCAGAGTGTCTTTAAACTGCAGTATCTATACTTCTACTTAAGTAACAAATGTGTGTACTTTTGGCACCACTGGTTAATTGTTAACTAATGTTCGTGTGTGTTCACAGGATGACGACGTGGCGGAGAACCCTTCACAAGGTGAGATCATACTCAAAATACTCATCGCATTGACCTGGTTACAATAAAACCTAAAATTTAACTAACTGGTAATAAATTTAAAGCAAACAGACCTAGAGTGCAGAATGTTGAAAAATAAATAACCGCTGGATTTGGTTTCCAAGTTTGAAGATGTTTCTCTTCCCATCCAGGAAGCTTTTGCAATTAAAAATGTTAGAAATAGTGTTGAGTTTGAGGCTTTATACCAGGGTTTCCACAGGTAATTAAAAATCATTAGTAGTCATTACATTTTTTAAATTAAGGCCCTAATGGGCATTAAAATTAATTATATGTGATTATTAGGGCGTAAAATGCTTTTTCCCCTTATTTCTTTTGCATTATAAAAACAATTGAATCAGATATATTACATCAGATATAACTGGTTCTGCATGTTTGCGTGGAACTGCTTCCAGTTGACCGTAAAGCCGTATGTTTGTCGATGGTAAAGATGACGAAGGAGGATTTTACTGAGATTTTTATTCACATATATATATATCATGTACATTGTTGATGATATTAAAATTATTTCCAAGATTATTAAAATAGCATTAAAAAGCATTAAATTACAGTTACTCATTCCTGTAAACAGTAGCCCAACAAAGCCTTGTTTTTGCTTAGTAAACATGCTAATTGAGACGGACGAACACGGGTCCATTTGGAATGGGCGTCGTTTGGCTTCTTTGTTCGCTCACATTTTGAACTGAAGAAGCATCCTGGATGGGAAGCGAAACGTCTTCAAACTTGCAAACCAAATTCAGTGGATTGTTTTTTTTGTTTGGAATGACTATGACCTGGATGACTGAGAAACTTCACCAAAAACATATATGATACATTAATTATATTTCAATGCTGAACTTTTAACAGGAAGTTTGTCTGTCGGCTGTTTTTTGCAATAAAATGCAACTTTTTGGTACTTCTAGTATGACTTAAAGGACGACTAACCCCCAAATCGCTCCTTATCCCAAGTTGTTTCCATGGTTAGCCTACAGCGCTTGTCCTTTATTTTGACAGTTTGCTGAATGTTTCTTACAGTCATGTCTAAAACCGTCTCTTTGGGGCTGTCCTCGTGTTTAATGAGGGCACTGCATCTAATTTTGACTTAGTATCGGTGTTGGCTGCAAATATTATGTCACGGTGGGGGGGTTCAAAATGCCTCTGTAACAATGAGTGAATCCAGATATACCGCTTTCACATTGGCTGAAAAACCAGTTTAAAACAGGGAACAATCAGCTTTTAGTGGCAGTGGGAGCAGTTTACTGACTGATCAATACTCAGAAACTGCAGATATGCCCCTTCCCTTTTTCCACCTGGATCCCCGCTCTATTTCGCCCTCATGTCCCTCCATTGTCTCACAAACTTGCCCCCACTTCCTCACCGCCTCGGCCGTATCTAGACCCACAGCTAGTTCCTGATTGTCCCTCTTGCGTTGTGGCGTGGAATAACATAGCGGACCACGCTTCAAAATTGGGAATAAATCAAAATATTTGCCACAATCTCACTGCGACACACTGCTGCGGGAGGATAGCTATGGAGCGATATTTGTGCCTTGGGTTTGAGTATGCAGGAACCAATCCAAGTGTGCGCTGAGACAACACGCGCGCACTCAAAACCGGTCAGGCCCGCGTTCAACTCTGGAAAAACTCTTCTCAACACAATGTCGTCGCTCTCATTTCCATCTCTGCTCGGATCAGTCTCTGCTCGCGTTTGACCTGCTCTCTCCGTGCTGAACACCAGCTGTGCGCTTGACTCTGTCTCTGCACTTGCAAATTCATACATGTATGTAAATAAACCACACCATCAGCCAATCACGCCCAGCTTTTTTCATCCAATCAAAGTATTTGTTCCAAATACTACATCCGGTTAAATGAAAAAAAACACAATCGCGAAATCAACCAACTTTTTTAGTAATGCAGTCAAAACTCAATTTGATGGACAGGAGATATTACTATAAAATATCTTGAATTATCTCAAATAAAGATTAGATTAGATTAGATTAGATGAGCTTTATTGATCTCACAGCGGAGAAATTCACTCGTCACTTATTGAAATAGTAATTAAAGAAGAAGGTGCAAACAAGGAGGAAAAAGGTGCATTAAGAAGAATAAACAATATATATAATTACAGTATATCCAGGTATATACAGTATATCAATATAAATAAGGATTAGTGTGCAAGTGTACATGTATTGCACACAATGAAAAACAAAATAAAAATAAGAAATAAAAAAAAAAAAAAAATACAAGGTAGTAGCACAGAGGTTTGAGGTGATATATGTACAATCCGGGTGGCTAATATACAGGTGGATTTACTTTAACCTTAAAGTGTAGTAGGTAGGGAGCAACGGTGAGGTAGTGGTATGACTATTCTATTCACATATATTGCACATTCAGAATATTGCACAGAATATTGCACAGTCAATAAATAAAAAAAACTATAATATAGCTGCACAATGGTTTTTACAGGAGTTATTGTGGTTATAGTGCATTATAAAAGTGAGTAAAACAGTTATTAGATCATCACCTCATCCATCTCGTTTTGCCTGCTATTGATATGGATTTAATTTTGCGGTTTAAAAACATAAATTAGGAGCACATATCAGATTCAAGTAAGGTTCAACAGTATTTAGATAAAAATATTTTAGATATGGGAACATTTTTAGGGATCCTTCAATATATTACAATATTAGGAATGGTGTCTCGTTTTAGTTACAGAATTTAATTTTAAATCGGGTAAAATAATCAGTGATGGAATTCAGCCTCCAAAGGAGAAATGTTTGTGATCGTATTGGCGTTAGAATAGATTGAAGAAATTGTTCCATTAAGAAGTTTTAATTTGCTCTGATTCTAGTTCAGGGTTTTATTAATTTAAGTCATTAATTAAGTCAGCAGACAGTTGGAAAGTTGTTTGCCAACCACCATATTTAAATAAATTTATGAATTCGCGAGCACAGAGACCGAGTCGAGCGAGCGGAGAGACAGTCGAGCGCACAGCTGGTGTTGAGCGTCGAGCAGAGACGGATCCGAGCAGAGATGGAACTGAGCGCGACAACAGTGTGTTTAGAAGAGTTTTTCAGAGTTCAGTGCGCGCGTGTTTTCTCACTGCACGCTCGGATTGGTTCCTGGGAGCTCAAAACGAAGTCACAAATATCTCTCCATAGATAACCAGCCCTTAAGTTTGTGTTGCTGTGTATCTGTCTGCCATTCAACAAGTAAATCACAGAAGGACAGATTTGCAAATGTTGGTATCTAAATAACTAACATTTATTGTTGTCCAGGCAGGTGCTGGCAGTGATATCACCCTAGCTGTGGCATGTAGTGTGCAGCCCTAAAATACATCCTGTTATTTAGTTCATGTCTGCATTGAATGAAATTGTTTTCACATTGATTATAAAAATATATTTGGACTCCACTTCATATTTATGATATGACTTTGTAAAAGATTTCTTTATCATTTCTACTGTCTGTATTCTCACCAAAGTCCTCTATCGACTCTTATTTTAGTGGCAGCCCATGGAAACCATGCTGAGAAGGATGCAGAAGAAGAGCTGAAGCAGATCAATCTGGAGATGGATGCTGATCGGCTCGTGGAGATGAAATGTGCAGAAACTGACAGAGAAGCTCTTAAATCTGCTTTGCAAGCGGCGGTGGTGGCTGCTTACAGCAGCAAGCCGCACGGCGACGCATGTCCCGCTCAGGACGGGGAGGTGGAGTACGTGACCAAGTCGGAGATGAAGGAAGTCCTGTCCGTGTGCGAGAGCGCCGTCAGGGAGGGGATCCTCACCGAGGTGGGGACTTCCTTTTTCTCCCTCATCATCGACCGGGTTGTGAAACTGGGAGAAAAGGAGTACCTGCCCATCTTCATTAGGTTTGTGGACAGTTTCGATGTCATGCGCTTAGAGTTGCTGGGATTCCTTGAGTCAGATCTGGAATGCGACGTTATGGTACAAAGTCTTTTAGAAAAAATAACGGCGGAGTGGCGTCTCGATCTGGGAAACTGCAGAGGTCAAGCTTACCTCGGCTCCGGTGACGTTTCCTACAAGCTTAAAGCCTTCGCCTGCAAAGTCCAGGAGAAGTATCCGCTTGCTATAAGCACTCATTGTTCTGCTTATTCTTTCAACACCTGGTGGTCCAAATCGATCCCGGTGCCTGCAGTTAAGAGAGCCCTGGATACATTTGAAGAAATCCTGGCCTTTTTTGGCAGCAGTGCCGCCCTAGAAAAACAACTTGACCATGTGATTGCATACGGCCTTAGAGAGAGCTATGAAAAAGTCCAAGAGCTACAAGGGATGTTCTGCAGCCTTTGGCAGGAGAAGCACGATTCCTACGAGGTGTTCGTCCAGATCCTCGAGCCCCTCGTCGAATGCTTGGAGAAGATCAAGAACAACCCGCAGAGGTGGAAGCCCTCCGTTTCCGAACAGGCTGCAGCTCATCTGCAGAAAGTCCTGGAGTTTGATTTCCTCATCACCATGGTGGTCCTGAAGAACGCCGCCTGTTTTACCAGAGAGCTCAGTGCAGGTATCCAGAAGGACCAGTTCAGCGCTGCATCCCAGCTCTGCCAAATCACCGGTATTGTGGCCACTCTGAACAGAGTGAAAACCAACATGAAGTTGTTCCACCAGAACTGGTTCGATGAGGCGTGTGCAATAGCGCAGAGCCTTCGCGTGCAGATCGAAGTGCCCGACAACTCCGTTCCAAAAGACGGCATGATAAAGCCAGTCAACTACTACAAAGACTGCTTGAGCGTGCCCCTAGTAGACAACCTCATCAACGCTGTAAAGGATCATTTTTCAGACGACCACAAAGAAGCTCTCAACTTCCTGTCCCTGATCCCGCGCTCAGTCACAGTGAGCTACATGTTTGAGAACCTGAAGTCAAAGCAGCCTCTCTACAGCAGCGACCTGCCCGATGCCGAGAACTTCTTCACTGAGCTCTGCTGTTGGAGAGTAACGTGGAAGACTAAGGTGGCCTCCGTTACCATCCCCAGCTCCATCTTCCATACACTCCGCCTGCCGCTCATGCAGTACTTCGGGAACATCAACACCCTGCTGAGGATCATGTCTGTGCTTCCCAGCACCATGCTGGAGGACTGCGGCGTCGTGATGCGACACAAGAGGTTCCAGGACTACCTGAGGACCACCAACCCCAAGGACAGGTCTGTGTGTTTGGCCATGCTCAACGTCAGCACCGACTTCCGCAGGGATCTGGACCGCATGGTCAGCCAGTGTTTGAAGGTTACTCCTCAGGCCTTGGAAGGCATCTGTTTGGTATGTACCTAAAAGTGATATTTAATCACCTTCATCTTTAGGTAAAGCCCTCTTTAATTTTAGTATTAACAAACTTGTCTCGCTGTTCTTGCAGGATAAGGAATCCAAAAGTCTGATCAGGAACTCTGAAAACAATATGGAAGGTAAACTGTAAAGATAAAAGGCCGTTTCTCAATATGTGTACTTGTGCGTTCTCGTGTGCTTGTATACTTGTGCAACATCAACAGCATCAGCCCTAGTACTGTTCCAATTCACAAGAATAGCAGACCGAGAACAGACAAAGTCCCCGGATGTTGTTCTCGCCCCTCCCTATTTACCCAGCATGCATCAGAGCAGACTTGTCCGTTCTTGAGATTGACAGCTGTCCCAGCATGCACTGCGTTGCCGTTGTTCAATGAAAGTACGTTTTAAGATCATTTAAGGCGAGAACATTATACTTTTAGGCGTCATTAATTGGCCCATTTACTGATTAATTCCGAAGTTGAGAGTACCGTGGCAACCAGCGGACCTCCAAGGCTAACCTCAGCCAGGGCTAACCTTAGCCAAGGCTAGCCTTAGCCCGTCTGCAGCAGCCCTCTCTCTGCGTAACGGTTTGTGAAGTTCTGATGGCGATTTTTTTGTGTGTTTTATTTGGCAAAATTTTCATCTGTGTTCCTTATTGAAGACGCTACAAATGAGTCTGAATAAGAACACATTTTAAATTAATTTATATGTGTATGTTTACTGCGCCAAAATACAACTATTTTCTCCATATAAATGCATTTTAATATGTCCTTAAGCACAAGACGAACCGTTTGCTTAAAAATGCGTGCAAAAAGGAATTTGAACTCCTTCATATCAAAGAACAAAAAGTTTGCCTAAAGAACTGATTGCAAATAGTTTCTGTGTATAAAATAAATGCATTTTGTCCTTCTTAAACAACAAAGACAATATTTGCTTAAAAAAGTGCAAAAAGAATTTGAACTCATTCATAACAAAGAACAAAAAAGTAAAAAAAACAAACTGATTGCAAATAGCTCATATTCAATAATAGAATAAAACTAGAGCACAGAGGCCCAACATTAATTTACGCTAAAGAGAGAGCTGTGGTTTGGTCTGATGGCTCACAGTGGATTGGATGTCTTTTCAATTTTTGTGTTCCCAATGTGCATCAAGTGAAACAGTGTTTCATCGTTGAGTCTGTTTCTCTTTGGATTTTATGTGCTTCATGGTGGAAAAGCTGCTCTTGCAAATGTAAGTGCTCCCAAACATGCTGGCCATTGGGAGGGCAAAATCTCAGGGACGTGGAAAATGGGTCTGCCTTAGGGGTGTAAATCACATCCATCATGGTGATTCGATTCAGTATCGATTTCCTGACCCAACGATTCGATTATTTTCGATACTCAAGAATACACCACGATGCGATTCGATTAATCGGTTAATTTTCTTTTTTTTTTTCTTTTTTTACACCTTACAGGCTAAACAAAGTTTTTAAGTTTGAAATAAATCAATAAAAGCTGTAATATCGTTATGCATTTTTTTTTTTTTTTAGAAACAACAGCAAATAACAGAAGTAAAAAATGTTGCATCAAAAAATTCTGCAAAAATACTGCACTAAATCAGTGCAATGAGAGCAATTAAATACCTCGGCTCCAGACGTCCCGCCCCCTCCACAGACGCTCCGCTGCACCTCTCCCAAATTGTAGGTGACAGCAAACAGTGCCGCAGACAGGAGGCTGGCTTGTTTTGTTTTTATGACCGAAATTGCGGAAAACAACTCGTGAAGTTTGACCCGCTAGAAGAGCGAGGTGCGCGAGAACGCTGGAACCCTTTTTCCACCTAGAGCTCCGCTCTTTTTGGACCTCATGTCCCTCCGTCGTCGGACTAAACTCGCCCCCACTTCCTCGCCGCCTCGACCGTATCTAGACCCACAGTGTGTAGCACAGACCACGCTTAAATATTGAGCATAAATCAAAAATGTCTGTGTCAAGCTTACTGCAACACACTGCTGTAAGAGTATAACCAGGAAGCGAGGTAGGAGGGCATAATTGGTTTAGCGCCACCGCAGCACGGGAGGAGAATTACGCCCAAATGGATAAAAATAGACCGGAGGAGAAAAAAACACAAGAATCGATTCTCTTGCGGACGTATCTATGCATCAGATCGTCGGCTGTTGGATCGATGCATCGATACAAAACGATTATTATTTACACCCCTAGTCTGCCTGCAGGTCGCAGAGTTCGAGCTGCAGCTCGAAGTGCCCGACAACTCCGTTAGTTGCCCGCTGACCCAAGCAGAAAGGGGGTCTGTGAATTGTCCGCTATTGGTTGCGTACAGTGCGCCCTCTATCGGTAAAAAATATCATATTTTTAAAAATGAAATAGTAAAATTATTATTGATCTATTCGCATGCCGCACTGAGTGATGATGAGGGCCGTATCTGGCTGCCAGTTGCCCATCCCTGATCTAGAGACTATTAATAACAGAAGGTGAAATGCAGCTCCAGATGAGCTGAGCGTGTGGTGACGTCACAAGTACGCTTCTGTGTTCCAATTGACCCATGATTATGCTGCGTTCTCCCAGAGTCCGCACTTTCCTGTGTTCTTCTCAAGAACATACTTGGGGAGGACATGAGTCCGTAGTCGCGCTCTAGTGAATTGAGAAACAGCCAGAGGGTTTTATATTTTTTTTTAATGATGATTTTCAAGTAATTCCAATTGTTTTTTTGTTTTTTTTTTCCCTTGATCCATTTAGTTGACAACGTTAAGGCTGAAGCTGAAGAGCCGAGTGTTACAGAGCCTGCTGAGAAGTTGCAGGACCAAGAAATGAAAGCGGCAGACGAGAATGGGGTCACAGGAGATAACCGTCAGAGCCTGGCTACAGTCTTTAGGCTGGCTGCGCTCCTGGGAAAAACCAACCGCAGTCTCTGCGACCTTAAGGAGGAAGACCAGGAGCCTCTTGTTCAGGAGCTGAAGATGTGCCACTGGTTTGGAAGTCAAAGCCAAAGCATACCATGGATTAGTGACGATGAAATGCTGAACCTCCTCATCAGTGGAATCAGAGATACGATACTTAAAGAGATGCAGGAATCTCCGTTTTTCTCCCTGATAACAGACAGACCTGTTAAAATTGCAAACAAGACTTACTTGCCAGTCTTTGTTCGTTATGTTGGGGAATCGACTCCAAAAGTGGAACTTATAGGGTTCTTACCGTTTAATGAAAACAGAGATGTTGACTGGCAAGCGGGCCACTTGGCAAAGATCATCACTGAGGACTGGGGTTTGCCCATGTCTCAGTGCCGAGGCCAGGCTTTCATGCATTGGGGGCCGGGGTTTCAAAGCCTGAAGAAAATGTCTTTAGAATTCCTCAGCAGCTACCCGCTGTGCGTCGTAACGCCCAGTGAGTCTTGTGGTCTGGCTCAGTGGCTGGCCAGTAGTGTGCCTTGCCCTTCTGTGGCCAAACTGCTGGACATCACTGAAGATCTGCTGCTGTTCTTTGACCAGTCTCCTCATCTGGAGGAACAGTTAGCTCAGGCTGTGGACGGGCTTCTGAATATGCCAAGAGAGGCTTTAGAGGAAATTCCAGAAACGTTCTGCTCCAAGTGGAAAAAACGAGAGGACTTTTTCGACATCCTCGCTGACACCTTAGAGGGCGTCCTCAGCTGCCTGGATGCGGTGAGCTCTGGCACGGCGGGTGCAAAGTCCATGCATGCACAGGTTCTGTCTGCTGCTCTGAAAAACGTGGATTTCATCATCACTCTCGTGATTTTGAAGAACGCCTGTGCGCCGCTTCGTAACTGCAGCACAGTCTTCCGCTGCGGAAACCCGGCTGACATCCTTTGCGAGGTGGAGAAAATCCCTTCAATCATCGAAACTCTGGAGAAAATGTTAACGAATGCGAACGCTCTGCACAATTCTTGGTTCGAACAGGCGTTCCAGTTAGCGACCAGGGTGGCTCCTGAACAAGTGTGCTTTTCAGAAGAAGCCAACAGCTACGATTCTCCAGAGATTTACTATAGAGATAATCTGAGCATTCCTCTCCTCCACAGTCTGATGGAGGAAATGAAATATTGCTTCTCAGGCAACCATTTAAAAGCTCTGTCTGTCCTGTCACTGCTGCCTTCTTGCAACCCTCAGCCCGTACTGTCAGAGTCGACAGACAAGCCTTTCAGCCTTTACCTTACGGATCTCCCGGAGCCCGAGGCGGCCGAGCAAGAGCTTAACGCCTGGGCTGCCGTCTGGACGGAGAAATACCAGGATGTTGCTCTTCCGACATCTATTGCCGAAACACTTGCTCATCCAGAGTCCAAAAGCCACCCGACCGTGGCCCTACTGCTCCGACTGGTTGCCGTACTCCCGAGCGTAAGCATGGAGTGCGACCTGATGAAGACCACGCTGAACTCCATGAGGGATCTGTTCAAAAACACTGCATGTAGAGGCAGCAAAATCAGTCAAGTGATGCTCCGCTCGCACGCCACAACACTACAAAGACTGCCAGAAGTCATCGAGAAGTGCATGGAAGTCGATCCAGAGAGCACACCGTGTCTGTCACAGGTTTGTTCATTTTAGCTTATTTCACCCCGGTGTTCTATGGTTTCACTCGCTAAATCATAACCTTAAAACATTTAATAATTATGATTGATTAGTCTTAGGATTTTGATGCTCAACAATGGACTTCTTGACTTACACAGCAAAAAAATTAAATCTCTAAGTAATTTTTTCTTAAAATAAGTGCAGTTTTTTCTTGAATTGAGGAGGTAAGTTAGACACTTTGCTAATGGAACATAACAAGACAATTTACAATAAGAAAAAGTAAATGTATCGTCTTATTTCAAGTGAATATTATCTAATTTTCTTATTTAAAGAATAAAAATACTCATTCTATTGGAAAATCATCTGATGTACCTGATAAACTTAAGGCTAAATACACTTAATTTAAATTTTTTTTTTTACTTCTTTCTAAACCGTTTTTGCAGTGTACAGTTGCAGCCATTGAAAATGGCCCTTCCCGTCAAAAGCCAGCCGAATGGCAGCCAAATCCCCTCTAGCTTCCAGCCTTCTCATGGGCGTCCCTATATACTTTACTCTGACTTCACCCGTTCACTGAATTACAGGGTCTGACCAGGAGATAACGCTTCTCATTAGATCTTAGTGTCCACAAATCATGACAGAATATTTTAGATGTTTACACTGCAAAAACAATCTAGAAATAAGTTTTAAAAATTCTTAAATTAAGTTTTTTTGTCCTTAATTTGAGTAGGTAAATGATAGTTTGACAATGGAATGAGTGTTTTTACTCTTAAAATATGATGGTTGGATAATATGCACTTGAAATAAGACAATGCAATTGTGTTTTTTCTTATTTTAAGTGTAAATTGTCTTGTTCCATTGGCAAAGTGTCTATTTTACCTCCTCAATCCAAGAAAAAATACACACTTATTTGAAGAAAAAATGACTTATCTAGATTTAGATTTTTTTTCCAGTGTAGGGGACAAGCCAAGGAGCAGCCAAGGAAAGTGGGGAAATTTTGAATTTTTTGAAAGTGACACTTAATATTTACTATTGTTAATGTTCTTACAATTATCTCTATTCCCTGACTAATGTTGGAAAGTTAGAAGACAATCTGCACTAGAAAACAAAAATCAAAATGTAGATAAGTAATTTTTTTCTTTAAAAAATTGCATTTGTTCTTGGATTGAGGAGGTAAAAGAGACATTTTGCCCGTAGAACAAGTTAATTTACATTTAAAATAAGAAAACAGAATTGCATTGTCTTATTTCAAGTGCATTTTATCTAGATATCTTGTTTTAAGAGTGAAAATACTCATTCCATTGGCAAATCATCTCTTAATTTTACCTACTCAAATTAAGGGTACAGACACTTAATTTAAGAAATGTTTACTTATTTCTAGATTGTTTTCTAGAGCATGTGTTTAATGCCATTGAACTCTGGAAAAACAATCTAGAAACAAGTAAAAATGTCTTAAATCAGGTGTATTTACCCTTAATTTTAGTTGGTAAATTAGATATTTTGCCAATTGAACGAGTATTTTTACTCTTAAAATAGGATAATTATATAATATGTGCTTTTAATGAGACCATGCAGTTACTTTTTATTATTTTCTTTTGATTTTTCTTAAAATTTGATTATTCCTTTCCAGTTGTTGGCCTCAAGAACTTCTTAGAAACCCATGGTTCTTAAACGTGCTTTGATTTAAGTAACAAAATAAGCATCAATCCTAACCAATCCTAATTCTAAAAGTTTAGTCTATTTCTTTGAAATAGTTTAGATTTAACATAATATACTTTCCAAAAAAAAACATCAAACAGAATATTTGAATAAGTCTAATATCACTTTAGAAATGTTCAGCTGGGGTCAGAAGTTGAGTTTTTTTTTTATCAGCGTCTGCTGTTTTGGTGTTGGAGTCCTGCAAAGCTAGGTAGAGGCAAAATACCTGATATTGGAGGCCTGAGGGCCTGACGTCTTTGTTGGCCCCCCTTCATGACAGGCTCTGGAAGCTGAAATGATCATTATGCTGCCTGAAGGAGAAAGTTCAGAGTACCATCAGGTGTATCTGCTTTGCAACATCAGTTTTTCTTGGTTTGGTTTTGAATCCTTAATGGGTGATAATCCTCGTTTTGGCCAAAAGATGGCAGTGTTGCTTTACATTTTGTTAAGCAGTGTGTTAAAGTTGCAACTATGATGTGTAACTAAAGTCTCTTAACTTGTTTTAGGTAACAAAGGTTCTCCAAAGATTGAAGTTGGACAGAAGTAAGTTGGAAAAAAAGCATGTTTTGTTGAAAAGTGTTTGTTTTTTGTCTTTTTCAATTCAAGATTCTAGTGCAACTTTTTTGTTACTTAAATCTAGGAAACCTTGGAGTGAAACCGGCGGAAGCTGCAGAGTTGGGGGAATCCGCTATGGCAGAGAAACTCGCAGAAAACGAGGCGGAAACACCAAATAAGGAAGTTCCTCAAGAGGCCGCGGAAGGACCTAGAACGACCGTGTCTTTCTATGAGCCGCAGCTACGTGAACACATCCTAAAGGAACTCTGGGACTCTCAGTTCTTCACGATTATAACCGAGCAAACGGTTGAAATTGACGGGGAGCTCTATATCCCGCTGTGTATCAGGTACTTGAACAAAGAGGACATCCAGTGTGAAGAAACGCTGGCCTTCATCCCGTTCGTTGAAGACTCAGTTGTCCTTTCTGAGGCCATTCAGACTGCCCTGTCTGAGAAGTGGGGACTGAACATGGAGTATTGCAGAGGACAGGCCTTACTAAGCGTCGGTGAAGTAGGAGCTCAGATGAGAGCTGTAAGTTTAGCCATTGCTACAAAATACCCTCAGGCTATTAGAACAGTTAGCTCTGCTTTGTCCCTCAACGTTTGGTTGGCCAGATCCTCTCCTGCTGAAGAAGCGGCCAATGGAGCCGTCATCATTGATAGATTGTTACACTGGCTCACAGAGGACGTAGAACGCCAGAACGCGCTGGAGGACATAATCACTTTGGTTTTCCAGCAGGATGAGGCGAAGGCCAGCGAGTTAAGGGACAAACTCATCAAGAACTGGGAGAAGAGTCACGACATGCATGAGGTTATGATAGAGCTTTTGGAAGCAGCTGTTCTCTGTCTGAACGAGCTGAAAGAAGAGGGGAGCACCTCAGACCAGCTCCAGGCGTCGCAGTTCTTTGATTCAATCCGGAATTTTGAGTTTATCTTTTCGACCGTAGTGCTGAAGAACGTCCTGGCAGTGACAAAAAAGCTCAGTCAGTCTCTTCAAGGAAAACCTTTAGATATGCTGCTGGCCGTGAACACCTTGCCTGACATCAAAGCGTCCCTCGGCACACTAAAGAGCGAGATTGACATCCATCACAAGTCCTGGTTTGAGGAAGCCGTCTCCCTGGCTTCGAAACTCAACGTCCAGATGTTGCATTCAGTGCTTCTAGAGCCACTGAGTGACTTTTATAAAGAATCCGTCAGCATGAAGGTCGTGGATCACTCGATAGCAGAAATAAATGACCTCTTTGCGGACAAGGTGTTGGATACCTTAAGATGTCTGGAGATTGTGCCTTATGCAATGTTCAAAGTGGAAACCAGCATTCTTAGTGGTCTCGTGTTTCGCCTGTACAAGGAGGACCTGCCAGACCAGCTCTCCCTGCACTCCGAGATGAAGGCGTGGAAGGAGAAGTGGCTGGATCCCATGGCGGGTTACCTTCCTGCCACTGTCCTCGATACACTCAAGACGTCGCAGATCCGAAGTTTTAGTAACATTGAAACGCTCCTCAGACTTCAGGTCATTTTACCTTTTTCAAGGCGGGAGAGCAACTTCAGGCAGGGGAGGAGGAGTCTGCAGGAGTTCATTCAGCAGAAGAAGAGGTCCCTCTCTGAGCTCCATCCTCTGTAGCGGTTGGTCTTCTGTTTGCAGTGTTGACAGGAAGTGGATGGCAGTACCGCCAGACTAAAGAACTGAGTAGCCTTCATGGAGAATTGTCCCTGTATATTATTGAATTTTTCTGTTGGTTGGCATTCTGCAAAGCCCTATCCTAAGCTCTGCTGTTTCCTTTCTTTAATTTTTGTAGTTTGTACAGTCGTACCTCCCAATGGGACCAATGTCATGAAAAAAAACCACGAAGCGCAGCGATGGTTCTCGGTGCTTGTGCCTTGATGAGAAACTAATGATTTTTACCCCGTTTCATAATGAATCAGATGGTCAGCATTGTCCCATTGGTTTTATTTCAGAAAAAAAAAAAAAAAAGGTTTTCTTTCCCCTCAATTTTCCAAAACAAACCATGTTATCATTCTTTTTGAAAACGCACCCTTCTACTTCCTGGGCACAACTAGAAACGGTTAGTTAGCTCATCTCTGTTGATTTTTCTTTTCCCGTGTTCGCCACCTCCCCGCCAGAATGGATTTGCTGTAAAACGTATCTTTGAGAATAATGTTTCCTTTATAGGAAAATCTTCATATATATTTGTCAAAAAAACTGTAATAAAATGATCCAAAAAACATGTTTCTGCTTGTTGGATTTGAAGCATCTTTTAGCACAAGGTGGCGCTGTGGAGCTATATTTAAAAAATTTTGATTCATCACATACCAAACTACAGTTCTATCACATTTCTTTAGTTATTAAACACTATTAGATCAAATTTTCACTCTATAAAAAGTCGTCAAACTGTTGAGGACTGATCCTTCACCTATAAATAGTGGGTTTACAGTTGCTAATTATTTTCCAGACCTTTCTGGTTCTGGGAAGAAAGGAGGGACGAGTTCAACCTGTATTTGTGGGAGATGCAAATCATCTCGTCTGATCCTTTGTTGCCTTTGTCTGTTGGGTTAATATGTAATTCAAAGGAATAAGCGTATTCTGCCGGCCTCCTGTTAATAATTTGCTGTGAATTCCAGCAGTCCTTTATGTAGAAAACAAAACACAGACCTGCACTGGAAAAAAATCGAAATCTAGATAAGTCATTTTTTCTTAAAGTTAGTGCGTTTGTTCTTGAATTGAGATAAAACAGACAATGGAATAAGATAATTTGGATTTAAAATAAGAAAACACAATTGGATTGTCTTATTTCTAGTGCATATTGTTGAATTAACTTTTTTAAGAGTAAAAATACTCATTCCATTGGCAAACTACCTCGTTTATTTATTAAAATCAAGGGTAAATACACCTAATTTAAGAAATTTCTACTTGTTTCTAGATCATTTTTCCAGTGCGCTGGTTGAAGTGAAAAGCACTGCAAAAACAATCTAGAAATTAGTCAAAATGTCTTAAATTTAGTGTATTTACCATTAATTTGAGTAGGTATTAAGATGATTTGCCAATGAAATGAGGATTTTTACTCTTAAAATAAGGTAAATAGATAATATGCACTTGAAACAAGACTATGTAATAGTTTTTATCTTAATTTAAATTTAAATTGCTTGATCCATTGGCAAAGTGTCTCACTTACCTCCTCAATTCAAGAAAAATGCTCTTATTTAAAAAAAAATATATTAATCTAGACTTCGATTTTTTCCAGTGAGTGATTTTTATTCTATTAGTTTTAATCTTTTTTTTCATACCTTTTTTATAAGTGTAGCTCCAGTAAAAATTATATAAAATAATTAAGCAATAAAGTTCAGTTTCTGCAGATTTATAAATGCAAATAGTTTTTAATGGAAAACTCAGATTTAATTTAGCCGGTTAGACTTCTAGTGTGTTTGATGTTCTTATATAAAAAAGGTCAGTAGTGTTGAGGAACTGGGAATGTTACTGTTGCTTTAACCTCTGCTGGTTCCTTCCTCATACAAGAGTGCATGTTTAACAAAGGTTGGTCGAAAACTACAGTTTCAGTGCTTGGATGAATTAAACGCTTATGAGCTTTAATATATATAGTTAATAAAGGTTTAATAGGCAGATTTAAATGGAAAGGCACTATATACTGTTGCCAGACTTCAAAAAGTCAAACATACATTCACAGAGTGGTTTTACTTAATGGGTAAAACTGCTGAATTAGACTAATTGAAATGAGTTAAAAAGATGAAAGACTTTATTTAAAGGCCTTAAAGTGTCTCTCAACCAGCAGCTAAACATCTGCAGGCTGTGCAGTATTTGTTTACCTTTTTAAACGTCCATGCTGAGGCCGCTGCAGGTACAAATCTCAGGTGTGGCCTGTGCTTTTGAGCGTGAAGAAACACATCCTCTCTTTTCTAAGCAAAACAAGGCATTCCCATAATTGACCCACGCAGCAGGCTTCCTGTTTAATGTCAAGGTCCTGCGCTGATATAAGAGCCGTGACGGTCCGTAATCATGTCCATACACCACCAGGATTTAAATACACTTCCAAGGAAGACAGGAGGCTTAAGTGGATTTCATTTCAAGGCTCCCTTTCAGGGAGATTTGGCAGCACGGGTCACGATGCAAGACTTTTGGTCTGAATTACTCAGATGTCAGCTTGTTGATTGTACTTTTAAGAAACACTTCATTTTTATTTGCGGCTGTAAAACTGTAGGATTTGAAACAGTAGGTGGAATGTGAAGGACTGTCAATGTCCTGTTAGTGGAATGGAGAATCATAAGTTATCTTCTCAGACAATCATTTTTTTGTTTTATTACAAATTTTATCTAATCGAAACTATTTATTTAATAGAGAATCTGGAAAATCATCCATTAGTGCTCATTTTTTCACTGCTGTAATGCTCATACCATTTAGGAATCCAATTCTTTTGTAATCTGTAAAAAATACTGTATAAAACCTCAAACTCAACGCTATTCCTGACATCTTGAATTGAAAAAGCTTCCTGGATGGGAAGCTAAACGTCTTCAAACTTGGAAACAAAGTCCAGTGGATTGTTTTTCATTTTCTTTTTTTCGTAATAATCTGTAAAAACTTTCACCCGTTCCAGTTGGATCTGCGCCGCTTAGATGTGTGATCCTGCTGTCAGGCTCCTCATGTTTACCAGGAGGCGTGGGAGCAGAGTGTGAACGGATGAAGTGTCCGTGGATCCTCGGAGTCTCCCCACCCGCCTGGCTGGCCCTGACCCCCACTGAACTTGACACCTTTTGCTCCTCTTCAGAAACACCTCTTTAGGGTGTCGTCATGCGTCCTGATGAAGGACCTGTCTGACTGCTTTGAAAATGACATCAGGGAGATACTGATACCGATCCACATAAGCAGGATCAGATGATTTAATGTGATATAATCCAACAGAACACGAACATAAGAAATTCTGACTTGAGTATTGAATCATATAGTAGCAGCACAATGGGTGTATTTGTTTACATTTCCAGTTTTTAGTGATTATAGTGTTCAGAAAAGAGCCCTGGCCAAAGGTTATACCACAGGCAGGGAATGATTTACCATTAGGCAATACTAGGCAGTTGCAAAGGGCCTCAAGTTCCTGGCGGCCCCCATAAAACTCCTTTTACATGTAGGGTTGATACAGCTATTATTTATGCACATTATGTTTTTGATAAAAATCCTTTTGACAAAATGCCATCAGAACGCTTATAAGTGTGTCTCAGGGGCCTTCTCTTCACTGTCCACCATATTGGATCAGTCCATTTGCTGCACTTGTGCAGAAAGGTCCAAGAAAGCCGCAGCAAATCATTTGAAAACAAAGTGGGAAGAGCAGTGTTGCCAACTTAGCACTTTTGTTGCTATATTTAGCGACTTATCAAACACCTCTAGCGCCTTTATTTCAAAAAAGCACCTAGCACCAAATCTAGTGACATTTTTTGTTCTTCTACTGGAGACTTTGGCGACAACATCTTAAAGCAGCGAACTCTGCTCTCCAGAGCAAGTAGATTGGTAACCCCGCCTCCTGCTGTCCTCTATCTTGTCTGCTGTCATGATTCATGCAGCTATTATTTCATCCAAATGAAAAATGGAGAACAGATAAGCAGATCATTGCTTGTCTACAGTGAAAAGAAGGATTGGGTTATTTACTTTTGGGAAACACAGGAAGCAGCAATCGGCTAAGTTAGAATGGGCTTAGTGATTGGAAAAATCTTTCATTCCTTTTGAGACAGCATGAAAAGTCAGCTGAGAGCGTGACCGATATTAAAAGGAAAGAGACAAAAGAAAACGGGAAAAAAAGCGAGAAAGGGGATAAAAAGAGATGAACAAAAGGTAGAAAAAATAATGTATGTTTATTGTATAAACATTTCTGTATCTGTACAATGGGTCCTTGCCTAGGGCCCCACATTTCCTAAATCCACCCCTGACCACAGGCTACTCTTGAATGACCACATGAGTCCAAACGTCTATTACTTAAAAGGCTTAAATCCTCAAAGCTAAAAAAGAGACGCAGGGTTCAAACAATCTGATTGGACGACAGTTTTTGTCTCAGGGACCCTGGCGGATGTGACGTTCTTCTCATCTTCGAACCTCAACTCTGACCCATAATGTTCCATTTATTTGTCAATAACCATCTGGCAGCACATCCATGTGATAGAGATGCTAAATGAAAGCTAGCCATTACAGCTACAGTTGCCTGATTGTTTCAATTTGAAACTCTCCTTTTAAGTTCCTCCTTCAATCCAAAAATGACGGCTGTTAAGAAAAGACCTGCTTTTCATTGGAAGGAAAGATTTTCTACGGTTTTATTGGGTTTTAGCTGATGATGAAGAACAGGCAGCGATGGTACGTCGACAGAAAGTGGAATCTGTCGCTTTATTAGTTTATCATTGTGGTTTTCTTCTATCTGACATTAAAGTGGAAGTTATTCTCTTCTTTCTGAACCATTGTTTTTCCCAACATGTTTTGATTGATTTGAACTTTAACCCCGTCACAGTCAGGCTCGGGTAAATCCTGTTGGCTCCTTCCGCCTTGGGGCCCCTGTCATTTAATCTAGATTTTTCTTTTTCTTTCACTGATGGGTAAAATCTACTTTGATTTGCCAAAAAAAAAAAAAAAATGCTTTTAAGTATTACATGCAACATTTCTTGTACATATGTTTTCTTCCACAGGCATTTATATAATTTACAAGTGTTGCTATTTTTCTTTCTTTCTTCTGGTTGTGTTTTGAGAATCTCCTGTAACATGAAGCTGTTCGTTCAAAATAATGACTCACTGTAAACTGGATAAAGTTATTGTTATGAACAAAATTTTGGATTTCTCCCATTATGTATAAATTCATTAATGACCGCAGGTTAATTTTTTTGTTTGAGTCACATGTGACATTCGCTTTGAACGAAGATCACGAGATCAAGTCCCAGACTTTGAAAGAGCGCCATTTTCGTCATCCACCCAGGATCTACATCGATTTCGCCCATAAATAAACGCAGGTAGCAAAGCAGTTGCATATAATCAATGTTATAGCTGGTTAGTTAACTAGTTTATACTAGCTAGCTGACGTCGGAGAAGGTTTACGCATTTACTAATTGCGTTATGACAATGAATCGCTAACGTTAGCTAGCCAAAAGCCCTCGCTCGTTCTCCAGAGCTAAACAAACATTGCTTGAAGGAACAGAGTGGAGTTTTGTTTGTGTTTTATTTTATTTATTTTTGTTACAGTGTTCTGTTTG